CTCGCCTGCGGCTCGAGATTGTAATTCCCATACAACACGGCCGCTCATGTTGTAAACTATACTTATACCATTTTCAAAGGCTCAGATAGTACTGTGATACAGTTGCACTTTCTCAGCAACATTTCAATGATGGTGCTGTCTTTTTGTTGTGCATAATGTCGCCTACAATTAGGCCTTGGGGTTTTTCGGAGCTTCTTGCCAAGCAATTACACAGTGTACCACCCCTTCAGCAACACCCCTCACAATTTTTGAGGTACATAAATTATGGTCACTAGTGCAATGGACTAAGATACAGCAACCATTCTGGTAAGTGATTTTCATTTAATTCACAAGTAAAAACTAATAGTAAARGAATATCAAAAAGATGGCCTTAAAACATTTCTACATTTTTTTGCTCACTGTCAACACGACAATATGTTGTCAAAGTCAGCCATTTCTCAACAACCCCTGCTACACTGCACATTTTTCGAYCAACTTGTTTGACAAGACATGCTGGCATTGTTAAAATTGCACAATGTGTAATTGCAAGAAATGTCACACCAATAAAATATAAAAAATATACCAACCAAAATATAAGAAGATATATGTTTCACTTTTAATTTTGGAAYAGAAAAACAAACAAGAGAATTTCAATGCAGACAGTGTTTGTGCTTACCTCCTTTGCTCCAGCTTTCTTTAACAGCTTTATAATTGGTGCAATGGTATTTCCACGTACAATAGAATCATCAATCAGTACTACTCTTTTGCCAGCAAAGTTCTCTGTCAACGGACCAAACTTCTTGCTGACACCCAGTTGACGTAGTCTTGTAGACGGCTGAATGAATGTTCTTCCAACATATCTATTCTTAGTAAGTACTTCCACATATGGGATCCCTGTCTGCTGGGAGTATCCCATGGCTGACGGTGTTGCTGATTCAGGAACTGTGCTGACAACTTCTGCTTCTACTGGTGCCTCTATAGCTAACTGGACACCAGAGCGCTGACGCACTGTGTAAACCATTTGACCTTCAAAAACACTGTCAGCTCGTGCAAAGTATACATACTCAAAGATACAGAAGGCAGGAATATCATCAACTTTGGTTGGAGGAATAAATCCAAGTGACTTTGGTCCTTTGGAGGTTACTTGGATTATTTCACCAGGATCTACTTCAAATTCAAGAACTGCACCAATTGAAGGGAAGGAGCAGGACTCTGATGATATGACCCAACTGAAGACATTGCTATTAGCCCAACCATTACCAGACAATTCTTGGTTTTCAGGCAAATCACGTGATTTATCAATCCTACCTACACAAAGGGGACGGTTGCCATAGGGATCTCTAACAGCATACACAGAGTTCTGCGTCATGATGACGAGTGAGTATGAGCACTGGGTCTTAGATGCAAGGTATTTGATTCTTGCCACCCAATCAGCTCCTTCTGGTTCACCACATGGCGGACGTGCAGTTAAAAGTTGCGTAATAACTTCACTATCACTACTTGTGGACAAACCAACTCCTTGTTTTAATAATTCATCTCTGACTGATTTTGCATTTGTTAGCTCACCATTGTGTGCAACTGCAATATGCCTGTGGATAGTATCAACCACAAATGGCTGACAGTTTATTAGCTCAGATGATCCTGCTGTCGAGTAACGGGTGTGGCCTATACCCATATTACCTTTCAGGGTGGCCAGGTTGGACTCTTGAAACACATTGGACACAAGTCCCATTCCTTTATAAGAGTGAAACTTGTTGACCCCACTAGTTACAATACCAGCACTTTCTTGTCCCCTACAATACAACAATAACTTCTTTAGTTTTCATGGCTCTTACCCCAGCTTATTTTTCAGTAAAATTCTGCATTGTCATATTAAATCATAATTGTTAATGCCAGCCTAAATAAATAATTTCCTCTTTTAGCAGCCATTACATTGAGCTACACTTGTAGCCCTGATTTCAAGGATGAGACATCAAATAGGCTCCTGCTTTTTCAATCGTCATCCCCTCCCTACATACTAAGATCTATTTTAGGTACAGATTGTTAAGCTCTCAGTTGATTGGTTAGATAAATAAGTGATGCTTGAGGTGTTTGACAGGGTCAAAATCTATTCAATCCCTAAGGTCAGACTGTTTTGCTCGACCACCACACATCCTCAAGTATTCTGACAAACTTGTCAAATACATTTAACATGAACAGGGAACAGTTTGTTTTTAGAGTTTTTGATTATTTTCTTATGCACCAGTCATTTGATATCCCCCGCACCCCCCCCCCCCCCCCCCCCCCCCCCCCCCCCCCCCCTCTGAGGAATACCCGGGGACATAGCGGGGTATTCACTTCATTTTCACCTATATTATGTTCCCCAATGGTCGGGGGAAGCACTTTGGCTCTACAGCTCGGGGTTTGACATGTTGTTGATCGATTGATTGTAACTGCTTGAAAGGTAGCGGGGGGGTTCACTTTTATTTTTCGCCCCGCAGTGCAGGGCTATCACTGCATTACACATTGGAAAAAAGTGAATGCCCCGGGTATTCCTCAGGGGGGGGGGGGGGGGGGGGGGGGGGGGTGCGGGGGATATCAAATGACTGGTGCATTAGCCAATGAGCAGTTGACTGAGTACTTCAGTCACACTTGAACTTATACTCAGAGTAATTCAAATAACAAAATTGATTTAAATTGGACAAACCTTTAGGTACAAATCCTGATAGTGAAATATGAATGGAAGTGAAGGAATGAGAATGATAAAACAGAGCTTCCTTTCTAATAATAATGTTTGTCCAGTAAAATAAAAAAAAAAAATCAATGAGACCTCAAACGTTTAGATGGATCATGCTTAGAAAACACAGTTTAAACAACTGCCCTGTATATACAAGCAGAGATTCAATTGTGGTTATTTGAATCCACCTGAATATCAGACATCAACTTCATAAACACTAGTGCTCCAGGCAAATATAAACACAAGCTTGATTTTTGATTCTTTGCATAAAGCTTTTACTTGAGGAGACCCACTTTTAATTTATGAAAGAAATAGTAGGAATCACGTCTTAGACAATAGAATCAACATAAGTTATTGTACTACCAGGTTGACACTACGGTTGACACTATTTTATGATTTGCATTTAAGAAAATTCTAGAGCCCTCCTCGGGAGGTTCCGTTGCAAATGATGCTACGTGACCACTTGCTGGTCAAAAATCCCCTGGAAAAGAACCTGGAAAACTCCATCAATCTATTGTAGCTCAGTAGGATGCAGGGTTTTTCGGATAAACATGTATTTCCCATTTATTCTATTGTGCTGAATTAACCTTCAAAAAAGTATAAATGTGTTTCGCTTTCATGTTAAATTCAAATTAAGCTTACTTCACCATAACCATTTCTGCCAACTTACCTGTGTTGAAGGCCAACTAGACCAAGATATATCGTCTTGGCTACATCTGACTGATCCTCTGGGGGCACATTTTCGCTGAGAACGCAGGCGAATATACCACAAGCGTGTTGATCAAGTTTATCTTCGCTAAAAGCATGTGCTTTGGACGCCATTGCCATTTTCTAAACTTGACGTACAACTCGAAAAAATGAATGAATTTGTTTGTCCAAACACCTTTGGAAAGAGTTATTCATCCAGACTCTGAACAAGAGTCAAAGGCGACCTGATTTATCGGTAATAATTTCATTCTTGGCGGCCAAAAAAATAATTTTTCCGCGGTTTTAACTACCAAATTCTCCTATCCCTGTCGTAACTATGGCAAGACCGACATAATTTCCTTCACGTGGTTCCTCTATTGTAAACCGCGCAATCTGATTGGTCGAATTCCGGAAACCCGCGAATTGCATCAGTGGCCGGTCATTCTGTCTCACGTGTAGTTCAGTCGAACTGTTCATTTTGAACGCACCGAACGTGTGTAGTTCTCGCCAGAGCTCTCAACCAAATAAGCACTTGCTTCTAGCTGTTACTTCAAAATGTCAGTACAAGAAGAAAAGCCAGCGAGTGGTAAGTATGTTATTTAAACTAAAACTTGTTGGACACCATATTATATTTGACATGAACCTCGTGGTCGTCAAGTACAAAAATGCCCATTACTTCGTATAAAAGCTTATTATGTGAAATTTCTTGTGTTAGTTGGTTATGTTTATATGGCATTTCATATTCAGAAACTTTTTTACATTTGAAATTGGTGGACTGTGAGTACGTGCAGTTCACTTTCCGTTCATGATTGTCAAAACTAGCACATGCTGAGATGATGGACAGTTTTTCACCATTGAAGACTATAAGTGTGCTTTTATTAGACCTAGTTTTGACTGGTCACAGAACTTGAGTTGTTTTACTATCAATAGTTTCTAAAATCTGTATTTTTTAGAGCTGAAAATTGGAGAGAAGATAATTGAAGGCAAGACCAAGATTGTGTATGCCCTCCCTGACTCYCCTGATGCCAATCATGTCCTCCTCAAATCCAAGGATAAGATTACGGCTTTTGATGCAACACGAAAGAATGATATGTCAGGCAAGGCAGCATTCAGTACTGCTACAACTAGTGCCATCTTTGAACTGCTTAACACTTGTGGCATCAAGACTCATTTCATCAAAAGAGAAGCCTCAGATCCAGAAGCTTTCATTGGCATGCGATGCGAGATGATTCCTCTAGAAGTTGTTACACGTAGAATTGCAACAGGTTACTATTAGATATTTTGCTTAATTAAATTATCTGAGGGGGAACAGGGGGGTCACTAGGGGGAGGGACATGAACAACATTATTTTATACTTGCATTATTATTCATATTTTGAGTAAAACATTCAATACAACCTACAAATAAATTTAKCATTAATTTATTTATCAATAAACTTTAATAATTGTTTATCTATCAGTGGTGGATTATCTGCGAGGATGCATGCAGTGTGAATYATATTCAGTCATTGTGGTTGAAAGACATAGGGTTATGTTGTTTGTTTAATCTTGTTTCCTGACAGACACTTTCTAAATAAAGATTTGTTTTTGTTTAGGTTCATTTTTGAAGAGATATCCTGGTGTCAAGGAGGGATATCGGTTTACACCAGTTAAACTAGAGTTTTTCCTCAAAGATGATGAGCAGCATGACCCCTACTGGACCTATGAAGAATGCGTTGAAGCAGGATTRGTGATTGGAGGAAGAAAAATTGGCAAATCAGAACTAGACTTTATAGGAGACACTGCTGTGGCAACCTTTGAAATCCTAGAAAAGGCCTTGGCGACCATGAACATTTCCCTGGTTGACATGAAAATTGAATTTGGTGTGAACTCCAAGACTGGTGAGATCTTCCTTGCTGATGTTGTTGACAATGATTCGTGGCGTATCTGGCCGGCAGGTGACAAGAGACTTCAGCGAGACAAGCAGTTCTATCGTGACCTCCCAGAGGTGACGCCTGAAGCTTTAGAGCAGGTCAAGAAGAACTATGCTTGGGTTGCAAAGGAAATCCAAAAGATAAACAAGCACCAACCAGGTCATGTTGTCATCTTCATGGGATCTCCAAGTGACTTGGACCACTGCAAGAAGATTGAAGCAGCTCTGAAAACCTTCAACCTATCCTGTGACCTTCGCATCTGCTCTGCTCACAAGGGAACAGAGGATGCCCTRAAAGTTCTTAAAGTTTATGAAGGTCAAGGAGAGCCAGTTGTTATTATTGCTGTAGCTGGACGTAGCAATGGTCTTGGTCCTGTCCTATCTGGTAACAGCTCTTTTCCAGTCATAAACTGCCCACCAGTGTCAGGTCAATGGGGTGCTGAAGATATATGGTCTTCTATGCGTTTACCGTCTGGGTTAGGATGTACAACAGCAATAAATCCTGATGGTGCTGCKGCTGCAGCTGCTCAAATCTTGGCTCTTCATGACCATATAGTGTGGGGAAGTCTTCGTGCAAAGAGGCTCAACATGGCTGCTAGTCTACGTGAAGCTGATGCTAAACTTAGAGGCTAAACTTCGTAGACTTAATAATGACTGATAAGAGTGTTTAAGCATTTGACATTGCAAGTCAATAAATCATTTGTGATTYTAATTTGTTCGTAAATTGGTATTTGTTTTTGTTGTTGATTGTACTAATGATGTTATGTAATGACATTACCAAGCTTAAAGTGCACATGACACCTTTTAGAAAAACACTTTTATCTGAAAGYTAACATGCTGCCAAGCACTTCTGTGAAGAAAGAAATAGATTTTGAATTGTATTTTCTGAGTTATAGACATTTGAAATTTGAAAATGCAAATGAAGTGAAGTCAACTAAGGAATRGYRCCAGACTTTTTACATTGRTTGCGCTATGCTYTTCTTGGTTGAAGAGCCCAAATCATCAATCATAGTAATGAGAGCTGAAAATGCCTTTTCCAATGTAACAAAATGAATAACGTTATCTTTCATGATTTTGTATATTAAATCATTCCTGAGTAGACGTCACTTCATTTGCATTTTCTAAGTTTCAATTGCCCATAACTTAGAAAATACAATTTAAAATCAATTTCTTTCTTCACAGATGAATTTAGCAGCATTTTCTCTTTTGGATTAGAATGAATTTCTAATGGTGTCATCCACTTTAATTATTATTGGTGTAAGCTGATACAATAATAAAATTTGAAAATGAGGATGCTGTATTTGTTAGCATGTGGCTAATTACAGACACTGTTAGAGTCATTTTCGTCCGTCTGTGAAATAGGAATTGTACTATTAAATACTATTGCCCCCTATTAGCTCCCAATAGTTTAACTTATGCGACCAACTATTAGGCAAACATGGTTTTGATTTTGTCTTTTGGTAGCCTACTACACCCTAATAGTTACTATTAAACACTGACTAGTAGTAATTGTTTCAGACGGATGAAAATGACTCTAAAATAGCAAATTTAAGTAGTTTCCACTATGACTGTGAAGAAAGGCAAACTAATAGTTAGTAATAGTCATCAAACACATTGTCTTGTCTTATAAAAAAGGTACTCATTTTCTCTCTAGACTGACTAAAAGAGGTTATTGTGATTTAACAGTTTACAATGTAAATCTTGAAAGTTCTAGCACTGATGGTTTATATGCATTCTTCCCCTACACCTGATATTAAAATATTCAAACCTAATTGTCAAAATTATTGTGAATTAATAGGAAAGGGAAGTGAGAGTACAGGTTTTTCTATTTACAGTGGTTTTCATTTGATTGTGAAAGAAAAAGGGATGTTTAATTTGTTATTGCTGTTAGTTTTTAATTAAAAGAAACAATGGTGTTTTAGAGAACAGACTGAATGCATAAAAAAACAATAAGAAATGGGTAAGGCAATAGAAAAAAAAGGAATTACCATTGTAATTATCAGTTTCCTGAGTTTCATTGCTTGAACACATCAACTTTAGTGTCATGGACTGTAATGGAAATTCCTTGATCCATTTTTGAAAAGACATAGCAACTAGTGTCCTTTTTTATTTGAGTTTTGGGATTTTTTGGTCTAGAAATGGTAGAAGCCAAAATGAATTTTTGGAAAACCATTTTTTATGCATAAAGAGTTCAAGGTTTATTTCCTAAAATTCAATATGGAATTTACTGTGATCTTTTCAAATTATTCATGCCTTGTGCAGATGCTGGATGTTAATTGGATAGATTCGAAATTGGTATTGCGTCATAAGGGTTTCCCCTGAGCCTCTAGGTCCTTTGTTGCCAAATCCAATTTCACATATCAAGTTCATTCGCGTAGTTCGTCACACGAAGCAGGATTATCACACAACAGGAAAGCAATTCACATCCGACATAACAGCAGTTGAGTTACTTTTTAAATAACTTAGGTTAAMTCATTTTGGTTGCTAATTTGATTTTAAATCTTTGTTGTAGTTGGTAGGTAAGTTTATTGATATTTTGAAGCACGTGTTTTACCTTAAACTCATTCTTTGTTGTTTTTCCAGATTATAATTTAGAGTTTGATCACGCTAACGACTACATATCAAATAACAACCTCGAATAGGACTTCTTTACAATAACTCGCTTTAAGATGGACGACCACAAGTACTTAGAATGTCTTCACGAAATGTTTATCAAACAAGCGCGGAAGACTCCGGACTCAACGGCCATCGTGTCGGACGACGGAAGAAGTTTGACTTTCAAAGAACTTGACAAGATAACGGATATCTTAGCTCTCAATTTTCGCCATCGTGGTTGTGGAAAAGACCAAGTTGTTGGGATATACCTTGAAAAGTGTTTAGAGTATCCTGTTGCTTATATCGCGGCTTTGAAGGCTGGCGGCGCATACTTGCCTTTAGAACTCTCTTATCCCGAACCACTTCTCGATTCTATACTTCAAGATGCTAAACCAGTTACAGTTGTAACAACAGAAGATCTCAGAAGTCGAGTGCCATCTTCATCTCATGTGACTGTGTTAAACAAAGGCTGGCAGCAGAGATTGGAAAAAGAGAATGAGAGTTTTGGCGAATTGCCGCCATCGTCGTCATCTTCCCTCGACGACTTGGCCTACATTGTGTATTCGTCTGGTACGACAGGACAGCCGAAAGGTATTTCCTACCTAAAATACAGTGAAATAGTTTTTTTTTGTCCATTTATTTAGAGAAATATGAACTAAGAATGAATGAACTAAAAATAATATGAACTCATGAATACAGGTTCGATAAAAAACCATTTTATGCTCTTCTCTTTTCATTTAGCTTAATTATTGCTTGAAAGTGGATGACCAAAATAGAATAACATGCCAAGTCACATCCCAGACCAGTAATTATTTATTCCCGCGGTGCACATTTCAGCAGATATTTTTTATTTCCATTTTTCATAGTCATTGCAATCGTCATGCTAACACTAAAAGAAAATCAATTTTAATTATTTATTCATGTGATCCCACTCAAAAATCAGCTCTTCATGCTGATAAGAAATTAAATGAGTTTTTGGATAAATAATTTATTTGTAATGTTGGCTGTATTGAAACTGAATTTAAGTATTTTGTTTTACAATGTCAGTAAATCATTTCAGTGTAAATTAGGTGCCGGCAAAATGAAAAGAAAAATCAAAGGAAATGATGTGATAATATTTGTGAGATAATCATAATAGCCATAATTTTCTACAATCTGTATTTTGTATTTTACACTTAGTAAGTAATTCATTTATTTGTAGCTGCATGTGGCTGTGATTTATTTATACACTATGAATTTCATGACTAAAAGGACTTAAAAAGATCAAACTGTCTTGATAGTACAACATGTTGAAATTAACTCAGAAGATTAAGGTTGTGACTAAATGATTGAAAAAAGAAGATATTTGGCAAACATGGATTTGTGAAATTCTATGTGGGTTTGTTATGATTGATAGTGGAGGCCGAATGAATGAATGAATGGATAGATGAATGGGTAGATTAATCTCATTCCCAAGTCCAAATTCCCATAGAGCAGTTATAGATCAGTCATGGATGAATGAATAAGATACTGGATGGTTTTAAGTATGCAATTAAATGAACACTGAATAAATGAATGCTTGGTTGGATCAATGTATGCAATTATAAGAAGACAAATGAAAACAAAAAACATGAGATGAGAACAAGATCAATGTCAGAGTGAAATGATTAAGTGAATAAAATTGAATTTACCAGCCAATGAATTAATAAATGATTAATTAAAACAATGAGATAGCCTTATGAATTATAATGGCACATATCTTGTTCCTTTGATCTATGAATATCATTGATAGTTTAATACTAGTAAATACAAACTATGACTTCTTTAACTTTCAGGAATTGCATGTCCTCACAGAGGAGCAGTATTATCGTACACATGGAGACTACAGAATTACCCATTTGAAGCGGATGACAGAGTTGCATGTAATGTGTTCTTTGTATGGGAGATGTTACGATCTTTATTGGCAGGAGTTCCACTTTATGTGATTCCTGAAAATGTTATATATGATCCTCCATTGCTTATGAAATTCATACAACAGRACAAAATCACTAGGATACTATTTACGCCTTCTCTTTTTGGTATGTTATTCTTTCACATTCTTTCAATTTATTGTCATGTACTTATTTTCCATGTAATTGATGTCAACATTTCTGATTGGTGAAGAATGCATTCTGATATTTTGTCAACTTTTTCTGACCACCCATTGTATTATACTATCTTTCAGAGGCAATTCTCGACTATGAGGAACTAGATCCTAAGACATATCTATCATGTCTCAAGCATGTATGGTTATGTGGTGAAGTCGTGACAACAGCGTTGCGTGACAGAGCTATGAAGAGTCTTCCATGGATTCGCCTTCTAAACTTGTACAGTATATCAGAGTGTCATGATGTTGCTGTGTCAGATCTCACTAACATGGCTTTTCAAGATGATGTAAGTTGAACATTTAATAGGTGTAAACGTAGTCTTGTTTACTTTATATCTTTATTTTGGGCCTTTGCTGTATTTTCTGAATTTCTTACATTAGAGACTCTGACCTATGTCAAAACWTAACCAGGACAGACCGTCAGGGACGTTTTTAYGTTTCCCTTAGTAGATCTAACGCTGACAGTGCGGTAGACCTAGAACTCTCTCGTCCAGAACATGTGGCTCTACCTTTTATATCCCTCCCCGTTATCCCTTGAGAATATAAGGATTAGACCTCAGTCCTACATAGGGAAAATGCCAGCAAACACAAAAAGTGCATATTGTCAGGCAGCATGTTTGCTGCTGATGGTTTTTGTTATAGCAACACACATCCAATTCGTTCTGTGCTATGCTACACTTCACATTCAAAAAACACTAAAAATGTGCTTGCACACATGCAGTGACTGAAATAAAATTGGGGAATTTCACAAAAGAGAGTTTTTTTCGAAAAAGGGTTGCCAAATTGTCAAAAAGAAGTCAGTTGATCGCATTCAGCGATTTGTCTGTTGATGGCTTTTTTTCGATGATTATGAGAAATCCAAGAAACCTAATTTCATGCAATAAGATGAGAATTTAATAGACTATCATGAGCGTTTTATTTGCACSTACTCGCACGTGTTGGATTGGCAAATGTAATACAACACGAGCCATAGCCGAGTTCGTTCTTTGACTATATGCTTTTCATATTTTTGTACAGTTGCCTGATAAGGACGTAAACAAGCGTAAGTTTTGCCATGTTGGTAAATTATTACCCAATGTCCACACTGTCATCATGGGGGACGAGATGAAACCTTTACCTGTTGGTGTACCAGGAGAGGTAAGCCATGTGGATTAGGTCCAAAAAACGTGTTGGAGCATGCGTACAATATACGGTCTTGGTATAGCAGATTGTACGGCCAGAAATTGAACATATATAGTATGTTTTGCTGTATCTTATTGTGCTAAATAAGGTTTACACTTTTTGCAAATCGTCTTTTTTGTGTCAAACTGCGTGGCTATGATTTTTAAGTGTGCGCGATCAAAGGTAGAAAGAGAGAAGTTCCGGAGATGCTTCACTCTGCAACACCTGCGCCAAAACACATGGCAATACAGCGCAAATAACAACAAGCAACTAAATGTTTGACTTGTCTCAGATCTTTGTAGGCGGACCAACTCTAGCGCGGGGATATTTAAACAGACCTCAGCTCAACAAGCAGCGGTTTATAGAGCGGCCGGTCGATGTAGCCGAGTCGGTTGGTCCGCGCTTGTACAGGACGGGGGACTGGGGTTATCTATTGTCCAATGGCTCGTTAGAGATCTGTGGTCGTTGTGATTCAATGGTCAAGATTAGAGGATATAGTATTGAAGTACAGGTAAACATTATTGCTTCTGCGTAGTCGTTCCTACTGTTGTTATCTAGTTGACTTCTTTTGTTTTTTTTTTGTTTTTTTGTTGCTTTATTAAAAAAAAAAAAAGATTTGGGTTGTTCAGGTTTTTAAACCTATTATTATTTTTAAACATATTAAAATATGTAGTTGACATAGACCGCGAAGCAGGGGGGCTGGGGGGCTACAGCCCCCCCAATAATTTTTCCGACATTTTTAATTTTCTTAAATAAAGAAGCGAAGAGCTTCCTTATGAAATTCCACCATGTATATTCTGTAAAAATTGTTTAAAAACTGAGCGTGAACAATTAAAATTMAAGCTTTTCTGCAAAGTCTTTAGGAGTATTGATAATATCGCTGACCGTGTGTGCGGTAAAAATGTCTTTGATAACGCCTCAAAACGCTGGAAATGACATTTCCGAGAGTTAAGATTTCAAAAAAAAACCCTAGTACCTCCTCGCCGCTAGACCCTCCAAACAAATTCACGCTCCGCAGTCCCTGGTTGAGATATTTGTAACTGTGCACGAAATTTCAACCACACTGAAAGGATTCATACCCAATACTGTATCCATGGGGCCTTGTCACTTTAATTTTGGATCATAGCGAGGTGGTTTTCAACAATTTATTTTCTTTCGCATCCTCTCTTAACTAGAACTACCATGAGGGTCCACAATAGGTTTTGCGGGATGCGGGATAAGCCATTTTGTGATGCCGGGATTCGGGATCTGGACGAAAATTTTGACGGGATGCGAGATCTTAAAATGCAAGCGAGATCGGGATTTTGCGTTTTTCGCGGCGGGATCGGGATAACTCTAAAACTTTGCCGCGGGATACGTGATTTCTGCGTTCCAATTTGTTTAGTTTAGTGACAAGTTCTTCTCTAGTTTTTCTTTTTGAAAAGGCGCATTAGTTAGCCCATCTTAAACGTAAAGATAAAAAAGTAAAAAATTAACCGTCAAAACGTCGTTTTTTAGCCGTCAAACGTAGACCTCCATCGAGARCCTCCTCTATGAATTTCACAGTAAAACAATTGTTGTCTCGCAACTGTTTTTGTTTCGTGTAGTGTTACAGAAGTAGAACCCAGGACTACTTTATTCACGAGTAATAAATAAAATAACAGACCGTTACGGCCTCAACTCAACTTGCGGTCGAGTAGATGTAATTAATTGTCTGGCTCTCTTCTACGAGCGAAGGACGTCGAGTGGAAACTCGTTCCTTTGCAAAGCAAAATGAAATAAAAGACTATTTTGTCAAGTAATGCTGAGAGAATGAACACCACAAACACGAAATGAAAGACGTCTGTCATGTAAAGTGGAGCGGAAAAAAAGTAGTTGCACAAAATATTTCGTACATGTACAGTTAAACAACGCGAGAGGATGATAAACGGAAAAGAAGCTGTTGATGCTATTGATGTTATATTAAGTTAATAATCTATTAAGAGAAAAATGCGGGATCGGGATTGCGACATTAAAATTGACGGGATTGCGGGATTGTAAAAATAGATTAGCGGGATTGCGGGATTGAAAACATCCTATTGTGGACCCTCAACCATTGCTATTGTGTACAATTGATTTCAGGCAGTAGAAGCAGCTCTTCTTCAACTACCCATAGTCAATGCTTGTTCAGTGCTTGTTCTTGGTGATGAAGGGAATGATAAATACATGGTAGCCTATGTTGTGCCAGAAGGCAAGGTGAGTATTAGAAAATATCAACGGTTTTCTTTGAAATTGAAATTACCAGTTCCATCTATCGTGGATTTTCAGCAAACAATTCTTGATTCCACTAGTGAACTGGTGATGTATTTTGGCAGACTGTTGCAAGAATGCGCGCACGTTTTTCGCACATCTCAGAAATCGTCTATTATTAATAGCACTGATTTTTGGTATCATGAATTTAGGTAACGAAGAAAGAAATCCGTGCAAACTTAAAAACACGTCTACCCTTCTACATGATACCATCACACTTTGTCTTGTTGCAAAGGTAATTTCTTGATGAATTTGTATGTCTAACTTGAACTGCGAGCACGTCATTCAGTGAAAATGTTTTACAATGTGAAAACTGTCAACCAAACATAWAGTAAACCGCGTTGGTCGTTGAGGTGAAGCAATGTCTTTTATTTTATATAGTTGATGATCTATTGCGTTGCTGTGCCACATAACGCACATTTGCACGCAACGGGTTCGCGACAAAAGGAAGTAGTCATTGCTCACTTTTGTCTCCATTGCCGCTTAGACGAATGTTTTTGTTAGTGTAAAAATATTTTCAAAGCACTTATCTATGTTTTTTTTTGTAAAGCATCCCTATGGCTACGTCTGGTAAACTAGACAAGAAGAAATTACCCCCCCTCGACTACGACGATGCTGATGAAGAAGGAACTCCAAGCACCAATACAGAGAAGAATCTCGCTAAACTGTGGTGTAAAATTCTATCCATAAGAACTGTTGATGTCCAGGAGAGCTTCTTTGACTTAGGAGGGTGAGCTGAATGATGTGCCATCTTTTTTATAGTGATTCTCAGTATCACAATTTAGTATACATGAAAAGCTTGTGAGAATGGTGGAAGATAAGACTGAAGCCAAAAARCATTTGAACCATCAATGCATTTTATTCTTTTTTTTTTCCAGACATTCATTGCTTGCCGCTCGTCTCCTGGCAAAAGTCCGTGAAGAATTTTCTGTGGAATTAACTGTAAAAGAACTGTTTCTGTATCCAACAATTGCAGACTTTGCTAGAATTATTGACATGAAATGTGGAAAGACATCATTACAAAGTTACAGGTATTTACAGCTGTGACATTCCTTGTAGCTAAGAAGCGATATGGTCTCATTTACTYACCATTGAAAGCTGTATTTTTCAGGAGCCCCTCAATGGAGACATCAATTGATTTACACGAGGAAGTTGAACACCATGACCAAGGTTTTGTCAAGTAAGCAATTTTTGTTTTCTTAAATGTTACGTGTATTTGAGTCACGAATTTTAACTTTTGAATATGCAGTGCGCATGCGTGCACTTCTCTGCCCTTATACGTATTTAGTAGGGCAGATCTAAAATCMATACTTATTGGAGAATCAAACGTACATAGTACCTGAATATTAGAGTAAAATATTCCTAAAAGCTAGTTTGGTGAGGAGGGTGGAAACCAGACTGAAAACCACAGCACTCGAGGCACATCTCGAAAAACCGGGGATGGCAAGGCGCCGGGTCCACAGCGTTAATAGACCAGGGTTTTTTTATAGAAGTGTCTGTAACATCTGTTATCAGATGTTACGAAGATGATCAGGACACGACACGAAGAAAGAGATAGTTTCACGATGCTTCTCTTTCTCAAAACATGGCCCTTGCAAGAGCCATTTCCGCGGTGCACTCTCATAACCGCAAAAGCTTGCTTGTTATTTCAACGGGTCGAGACATTTATATTAGAAATAGTTCTCAAGAGTGTATCACAATGGTTATTTTCAGTATGGATATAATTCTACGAGCATTCTGGAGATCTGGCAACGTTCGAAATACAAGACGATGGAACCGCGGACGTGTTCTGCTCACAGGAGCAACTGGTTTTCTTGGTGTTTACTTGCTAAGAGATCTTCTCAAGTTAACAAAGGTAAACCGTGTTTTTTGTTTGTTTCGCGAAGGATCAGTGTTATTGTTAACGCGTTGGCGGGCGTGGCTCATTCTCATCCATAGGTTCATGTATTCTGCGCCGTACGTGAAGTTCCAGACAAGAAATGCAAAGAACGAATAAGAGAAGCATTACAGAAATATAAAATTCTACCAAAYAAGGTCAATGGACATGAGCTGACCGAAGATGAACGGTACCTGGAGTATGGCTTTGAACACAGGGTAACCGCCATCAAAGGTATGAACATGACGACGATATGTTACGTCCATCGTATCACACTGATAAAATCACCCATAAATAAGGTATATAGATTCTAAGTGCGAGGCTTTGGCAAAAAAACGAAACTTTGACTATATATAAGGCTTAAAGTTTTTTTGTTCATGAAGCTGAGGGTGTACAGGAGCCCATTCAGATGTGGGATTAATACTTTTTCATGTTCTACTGTTTTTATAAGTAATTTTATATAATGTGTTTCAGGTGACGTTTCTTTATTAAACCTGGGTATGACGCAAGAGGACTATGTTTTCCTTTCATCAGAGGTATTGTGGCTTCTTTCTTTTTTCTTTAGTCCTTTTCTCTCACTCTCCTCGGCTATATCTTGTTGGTTGATTGTTTGCTTCATTTCAGATTGATTTCATTATTCACGCAGCAGCCTCTGTAAACATGGTTTATCCATACACGGTAAAGACAATGRTATCTCAATATCTTGTAGAAGTTTATCACGTAAGATTGTAATTACTTTTTCATCGTTGGCAAATCATCCTTTTTAACTCTTCAATTCATTGTTTTGAAGCATTTTAAATTTGTTTCCAGGCTCTCCGCGGTCATAATGTTGTCGGCACTGAYAACATAATCGTATTTGCAAGCACAAGCAAGATAAAACCCCTACACTTTATCAGGTATAGATGCATGCTGTATTGAATATCTACAGTCTGGGGCCTATTTCTGGCAAATTAATCATAATCTTATCTCACCTTAGAGATAATAGTTCTTTATTTGGAAGTACATTTCCTTGTTTGGAAGTATCTCTTATATGAAAAAGATGGAAATTTAATTTTTTTATTTGTTTTTGCTCAGTACTGACGCTGTTTTTCCTCATGGTCTTAAAAACTGTGCCGAGGACGCCGACATGACTCCAAACTGCCATCTTCTTGAGGACGGGTACTCGCAGTCGAAATGGGTAGCTGAACAGCTTGTCCTGAGAGCCAAACAACGTGGTCTTCCCATGGTTATCTACCGGCTTGGTTAGTTCACAATCAACTATAGATACTTATAATGGCTACGAATCGTCAGAATCTTACCCGGATTTTAGTTGTATTCTTATACCAATTTTCTGTTTTTTGCTAAAGGCAACCTGTCTGGAGATAGAAAAAACGGATACTGGAATCCAATGGACTTCACTCTTCTAATGATACGAGYATGTATTGAGACTCTTTGCGCTCCTAAAATCGACTGGGACTTGGAAATGACTCCCGTGGACTTTGTAAGCGAAACAATCGTGAAGATGACACAGGTATGAAGAATAAATGACCATGTGTAGTGGCTCATCGCAAGCACTTTGGTTTATTAACCCTCTAGCGTACTTGGGTTTGTCGTATTTTTTTTCTGCAGAGTCGGGGTTTTGTAGGTTGTAAGAGATTTATTCGTCTCTATTGCATAGCGTACTATACCATCAAGTATTTCTAGTACAAGTTCTTATTTAAGTTTTGTTGCCTGTTTTAGGAAGTTTCGGAAACAATTGGAAACATCTTTCACATTGTCAACCCAAGGCCACTTGAAGCACAGTGAGTTTACAATGACAATACAAATTAYCAAAAACTACGACGACATTCATATAAATTACTAATGAATAAACGAATGATGAATGATTGAGYATGCACACTCAGTTGATCGTAGACATCACATGAAATAACCACACTTTTACAAATTAAAATCGTTTTGGTATGAGCTGGATTCTATTGTACGGAATGTCYTCCGCTTACAATATGATATCTGGAAGATATGTGTACAAGAATATTCACTAGCCTCTAGTTTAAATGCTTTTGACTTGTTTTTGTTTGTTTAGATGGCTTTATGAATGGATGACAGCCCATGGATATCCACTCAAGGTTGTTTCTTTCGAAGAATGGAAGAAAAGGTGGCTTATATATAGACACTATGATTCAATTCACATTGATGTACACTACCCGCTGATACTTACTAGAGCTCTTTAGACTGTGCAAGCACATTTTCTATCAACTCTTCAACTTAAATTGTCACTCTTAGATACGAGCATTGCGCTCCTGATACGAGCTAGTTCCTTTGGGTTCTTTTCCTCACAATTACAGTATACACCAATCATTATTGATCGCCTCTTTTCTCTCGACTCAGAATTGAAGATTTAAACAAGACGAGCTCATCTGAAGAGCACAGTCTACTGGTCAGACTTCTTGAGAACTGGATCAAGTATGTATCACGTGCTTTTAGCTTGCAATTGGATTGGGTACTCGCGAGTCGCCAAAAAATATTTGGCAAGTGACAGGGACTGCGGAGCGGGAATTTTTTTTTCGGGGGGGGGGGGGGGGGGGGGGGGGCTAGCGGCTGCAAAGGCAGGAGGTACTAGGTGGAATCCTGGGGTATTACCCACCGGAAAATTTTGAAATCTTAACTCTCGGAAATGTCATTTCCAGCGTTTTGAAGCATTATCCCAGACATATTTCTGACCGCTAAAACCGCACAAACGGTCAAACGATATTCAAGGAGGACTGTATGGGACTAACTATATGACGTTACTGATTTCCTTATTTGGTATGCTATTAGGGACGCATCGTTTTTCTCCAAACTAAGCACCTACTCACAAGTCAACTTTGATAAAATGATGAAACACTTCCAAATCAACTACCCACAGATCAATAGCACTATTCTCACTAACTACTTCACTTCGCTGGTCAACCAGGGCGTGTTCCAGCCGCCTAAGAGAATAATTAGAGGTAATTTTGACTACTCTATTACTAGAACGCGCTTTCCCGAAAAGAGGTGCGTTGTATAGATGTTGTTTATCAACATGAGTCATGCTCTAGAAAGAGTTTAAATTTTGTGAAATCAGGGACCGTATCACGTGTTTTTGATTAGGGGGGAATTCCAGGGGGTATTGGGATTCTCTACCAGAAACCTATAAAATCACAATTTTTGGAAATGCGATTTCGAGCGTTTTGAGGGGCTGAGAACTGCCAGAAGAATTATTTGCGGGGCTACCTCAACCTCGCGCGGTCCCTGAAAAGTCGCGGTATTTCGTTAACAAGCACTACTTTGAGTCCGCGTTTGTTTAGCAGCGGTTACTCTAACGAGGAACGCCTGCCTAAATTCGACATAAGCATTACGTCGAATCGAGGTTTTGTAGGTTATCAGAGATATATTGAATTGTTATCTTACAAATTGAGTAAAATGGAACCAGCATCAGATAAAGAGAAAGGAATCGTTCCAGGTAAAWCAGTGTTCCTTCTTAGGTGAAGCCATTTTGTTTTCCCCACGCGGACGGAGAAATGCGACATGCGATGAATAGCAAACACTCTTAATTTTCTTGTAAATGATCAAAATCAAAGAGATAAGAAATGAAACAAAAAAAGCCCTTAAAGTTTTTAGAGGGAATTTCGAATAAATTTCAACTGGATGTGTACTTCAGATGTATAACAAATGCTAAATAATTTATAGCAACTTGAAATAATCCCCTTCAATTTGATTATAGACCTCTGAAGCTTTTAGTTCATGCACAGTATATGCAATGCATTGTAGGATATGTTTGGGACAGAACAAGGTGGATTTCTTTTGTTTTCTCTTGTAACTGATCCCACAATGCATTGCAAATCAAGTACTGTAGTGAAATTCAGAAGTCTATTATATGTTCAATTTTTAGGCCCAGTCCCTCTCGAAGGTCAAGTTGCTATAGTAACAGGATCATCCAGTGGAATTGGGGCTGCTYTTGCAAAGGGGTTGGCTGCTGCGGGAGCAAAAGTAGCACTTGCTGCAAGAAGAGAAGAAAGGTTTGTTTTTGATTCACTTTGCTGACTTATGAAAATTTTAAAAGTCGTTGAGGAAAGGCTCAAATATGATACTTGGTTTATAGAATGATGCCATTTAAGACTGCACTACCAATACGTACATTCAAGAATCTTTGCATGCTTTTCTCATGTAAACATAGTCTACTAACTTATGATGTAAAGAAAATAACTATCATGATGATCAGGCTTAACATTATTGGTTATTGCTTGCCTGATTAAACAGAAACCTTCCAACAACATGTCTTTTTTTCAAAACAAAACAAAGGTTGTTGTACACATGTGGGTCTTTAATTTTGTATACATTTCCATATGAATTTTTTTTTTGCTAAAAACTGATTTTAATTATTTAGGTTAATCTGATAGCTTACAAATATGATTCACTCAACGGTCTAATATACAAAATATAATTATGATACTTAAATGTAAATTATTATTTTTAGATTGAATCAACTTCGCAATGAAATTTTATCAAGTGGAAATGTTGCTATTGCTGTCAAAACAGARGTCACAAAAAGAGATGAGGTACTTCATGACAGAGAATTTCATAACTAGAATCAATTAACAAGCGAAAGTAAAAAATGGATTAATTGTGATATTTTAAGCAGAACTCATTGCATTAATGAGACTTCAAAGTTTGCTTGGAGTTTTTTTTTTTTCTTTTTTTTTCTTTTATTAGGAGTTATAAATCAATGGTTTCTGGCATGGTTTTCTATGTAGAGAATGGCTGGACAAGGCTGTGTGAATTTCAATCAAAATAGACATATTGAGATTATCATGTTACTTTCTTTGGAGATTTTTCAAGATTGCATAATTAATGCATGAGTTGATGAGAATGATACGAATGTAGCATCAAAGCATGACACATATCAGCTTTAATAGTCACTACTGACTCTCAGTTTTGAAGAGAACTCACTTATGAATTGATTTTTAGATGCAGAATCTTGTTAAGTGTACTCAGACTACTTTTGGTCAAGTCGATATCATTGTGAACTGTGCTGGTGTCATGTATTACCAGTTGATGAAGAACTGRGCAATGGATGACTGGGAAAAACAAGTAGATATAAACTGCAAGGTACAATTATGCATGAATAATGTCATTCCCTCAAACAACTCTTCCTTTTTAACTTAAGACTCTTAGAGGCTGCCCTGATATGCAACATGAAGCCGAAAATAAACTCACGRGACGAGAGTAGCGAACTCAAAGACCTATTGTTTTAACCTATTATACTAACGTTACCCAACACAATAGTCTCTGTATTCCTTATATTCGCYTTTATGTAAATTTCAATCACTCTCCTGATGATGTCGGRGACCGACGAKAGCTTGAGAACAATAAAAGTTTTCWAAACAGTAGTGTATGGCCCAGARTTCACTTTCATTTTGAAGAACTCTTTCTTTTATATTCTCATCTTGTTGGACATATATTATTCAGTCTAAGACTATTTTGGAAGGTTCRATTTTTGTAAGTGACTGTTCGTATTTTTCATTAAAATGATTCTTTAATTATTGTTGAAGGGGGTTTTGAATGGTATTGGTATGGTATTACCTGGAATGCTGCAAAGAGGAAAAGGACATATTGTGAATATCTCATCAAATGCTGGACGAAAGGTGACTGTTTTATGGCGAATGCCTTCTAGCCATGATGCTGTTTACAGTTTGCTTTGTTGTTTGATGTTTATTCTAGCATCTTTACAATTTTTTTGAACTACAAGGAGATTCTTTATTCTACGATCAGAGAGTGAATATAGAACTAGGTCTCTTAATGAGCTAAATGACTAATATATTCTATACTTTATTTTTTAGGGTTTTCCAGGCCTTTCTGTTTATTCCGGTACAAAGTTTTTCATTGAAGGTCTGTCCCAGGGTCTTCGACAGGAGATTGCAGGAASTGGTGTGAAAGTTACGACTATACAACCAGGTATGTGAATTTAACAAATTACGCACGGTTTTGTATGTCCTCTTATTGACGCACTCTTGACGTCATAAAATGTTCAAAACGTTAACTACATATCATCCTCCTTCTAATCCTTTTATCCCTATTCTTCAACTTCTTCTTCCTCTTCTTTTTCTACTTAGCAATATTTCGCTTATACTATACGTAGAACGTACACTGAGGGTTTACTAGATTAATTTCCATCAACCCCTTTGGCACTGRTAATTTGTTTSATGTACAGAACTTGTACATGACGCTTAAMCGATGCGCCATTTATCGTAGGTGATGTRACAACAGAGATTGGGTATCGTTCACATGACACTGAGGTATGACTATAAAACCTGACTTAGAAATTKTTGTGTATAGCAGTGACAGCTGTTATTGCTGTTGTTGTTTTTGGTTTTCTTCTCTGGTCCCTATAYAGTGATATGAAGTGCTATATTCCTTGCGTATATTTCAGCAAAACAMGAAAAGATGAGAAGTATAAAAAGTTGTTCAAAAAAGTCCTTTTTTCAAATATTCAGTTTCATCGTGTTTTTCATTTTTGTTTAGGCTGTAGAGCAGTACGACATGTCCACCAAAACGAAGATTCTTGAACCAACGGATATCGCCAATGCTGTTGTATTTGCAGTAACTCAACCACCATACTGTGCAGTGAATGAAATTATGGTCGAACCTCGAGATGCWCCTTGTTAAACTATCAATAACTTCACGAACAAAGATACTGTATTAAGTCCATAGCCAGACAGGGCATCAAGGGACTTTGGTTAGATCAAAGTAGAGTAGTATCAGCTCCTCCTGCTATCAATGGTTGACGACATTGTATAATTATATGATGAAATAACGAATAAAAATTTGATTGGGAATTGGGATTGGATATCCCCCCCTTGAGGACCTATAAAAATTCGGAAGATAAAAAGCAGCATTTTCGACGAGGATGCGCAGCGTTTACATTTTCTAGAACCAGTTAGMATGGGAAAGCTGTTTTGTTCAGAAAATGGGTAGCATCAGATGTTATGCTTGAGCTTCCAATACTCGATACAAAAGCGCCGACCTATGTGCTTTTTTTTAGAGGTACAGACAGTTCTGATCAATCATTCCAATGCTGACTGGCCGGTGATCAATTGACGTCAGTTTGACGGAGAAAATCTACTACTACGTCATTATCTAGCATCATAGCGTCATCGATAAAAAATGATAAATTGACCTAAAAAAAGATCGAAAAAAAATTATTCGTGCTTTTAATTCCGGGATTTTTTCATAATAAAAAGTATTAAAGAATATATCGAACAACATGGTCAGTCGTGAACACTGTTGCTATGCATTTTGATTTTGTCTATAACGAGAAAGGGTGTGTTTCATTTTTCAATTTTTTTGACACCTTCACTGACACACCTAGAATTTTGTACTGATTTTGAGTTTCATTGACGTCGTGTAACTATAAAAACATGCGTTCTGATTGGTAAATTCCTATGTCAAATATGYGATATAAAAGTGATTACTTCCCCAAAACAACTATAAATAAGTAAAGAATAGAACCATAACGATGACATTAGGAATGAATGAGGGYAAAGTATTTGATTTTATGTTTCCTTGTGTATACTCCACCACAACAATCAGCCCACCGAGTCCATCACAAGACCCAGAGCTACATTACAGTTCCGTCCTGGATTCTCTTGCTAAAGGTCGCTCCCTGGTTCCGGCTTACAGCGGAAATAAAGTATGTGGTATAACTCGTTGTTTCCGTTGCCAAAAACCTCGTTGTCTTTACAGTTTCAAACCGCTCACATCAATGAAGGGATCGTTACTACAAGAGGTACTAAGTACTACAGTGTTTGCTTGTGGTTCTGCGTTACTTCCTCCTGGACATTTATTGGAAGGAAAAGTTTACACAAAGAARTTGGATTGTTCYATGCCTGTGGAGAACGAATTTTACCACAGCCTTTTTGTAGTTAAGAACACTTGTTCAGTATGTGGAGGGAAGAATGGAGAAYTCACGAAAAACARTTTGAAAGGAAAGAGAATTGGTCTTCAATTGCCAGTATGTAAAAAATGTCAAATGATATAAGATGAATTATGAAACTATATGATCAACACTTGAGAATGGAATGTGGTAGCACTAATAAGACTCTAATTCTAGTGTTTTCCTTTTTGTATACAAAAACTTTGAATATCAAACTTTTTTTATCGGCTGCTGTCTTCATCACTCATTTCATTGATAACAATATGAACAATATGTAGTTCGATAGGGCCAATTGTTCGCTTGTAATGAATGTTCAGTTTTTATGCAATCGTCCTGGTTGCCCGGTAAAATTATTGCGATATCGACGAAAACGGGCGGGACAATTATTGACAAGCACACTAGTTTCAGTAATG